TTTGAAAGCAAGGTTTCCAGACAGGTACTCACAGGACCTCAGTATTTGCTCCCCTCTGCTGCCTTAGGACTCCGCTTAAATCTGGTTCATCACTCCCTTGGCTGCCCTAGCCATGGCTCATATAGATCCCTGTGTGGTTCAACCCACAGACCTGGAAGATAACAAGGCCTTGGCCTTGTTAGATGATGCCAATTCTGCAGCCACATAGAATGCAAGAGCTGTGGGACCATAGTGACCTTCACCATGATTCCAAAGGACGTACTGAATGGCCTGGGGATCCAGCAGAAACTTATAGCAGGCACGCAGCCACTACAAAGAGCCCCGACTAGGTCAATGCCCAGTGGATCTAATGGGTCAGTGCTGCCACAGAGGCCCCAGGACTATAGGCCTATCAGCATGAAACTCTTCCCTAGGGACCTATCAGTATAAGATTCCAACCTATGAAAGCTTTGGCAGTCCACAGTAGTGCCTATGCCAAGAATCTGGAGGTTCAAATACTCCCCTGGTATACAGAGAAGATAGAACATGGAATCAAAGATTATTCTGGAGCTATAAGATTTAATATTATTTTACTTGTTAGTTTTGAACTCACTTGGAACCAGTTAACCCTCCCAACCCATTCACTTATTTCTCCCTTTATGAATGAGAATGTCTATACTAAACCTGTCCTGCCCATGTATTCTGGAAGTAAGTAACTTCTCTTGATTCCACAGGCTCATCAAACCTAGACGTTTGTCTCTGGATTGGTCAGATCTCCTTACCCACTCCCAATTTAGACTTCGGCTTTTGAGCTGGTGCTGATAGACTTTGGAGCTAGAAGGATGGAGCAAATGTATTTTATTAAGTGAGGACACAAATTTCCTGGGGTGGGTGGAAGTGGGATGCTACTATTTGAATATGTTCCCCCAAAAGCCCATGTTAGAAAACCAATCCCAATTGGACAGCACTGGGAGGTGGGACCCAACGAGAGGTTGAGGTCAGGAGGGCTCCACACTCATGAATCAATTAATGCCAATTATGGAGGCGTATGAGGCCACAAGTCCAGTATTCTGTTTTCTACCCACCCTTGTCCACGTGATGTTTTCTATCAAGAAGGTCCTTACCAGGCGCCAGCTCCTAGAACATGGACTTCCCAGTCTCCACAAGGACAGAAAGAAAACCCTATCCATTGTAAATTACCCAGTCCTTGGTGTCACAGCATAAAATGAAAACATGAACTGAGTTAATTAAGTGATCAGATACCAAATCCTGTACTGGACAAAATAAATGCTAAAAAGGCCACAGTGGTGATGACATTGTTACAACACTGAATCTGCTGTCTGTGTTCCAATGTTAAACATGAACTTGATATAAAGTTGATAATTTCACTGTGGTTATATAATTAGGCCTTCCTGTGTTCAACTTTCAAATGATTCAAATGGAAAAAATAAAATAAGGCACGAGAGACACAAACGGTTAGTGAGGAAATCTCAGTCAAAGGTAGGTAACAAGGTATATTTAGTACTACTCTCACAACTTTTCCCTGTAAATTTGAAAGTATTTCCAGTTAACTGGTTAGAAGAGAAGAGTTGAACTGAAACTGATTCTCCCACTACTGTCATAGCTTGGACAGGACTAGAAAGCTCTGGGAAGACACTCAAGCCCTTTCCCAACAGTGCCTAGAGAGCGAACAATGAGGCACAGCTCTTCCAAAGAGGCAAAATCAACCAATCCTTTAAGAGTTGTCTCTGAGTGGTTTCTGTTTCCTAAGATATCTCTTGGCTGTGCATTACAATCTGTTCGTGACCTGGTCTCTGCCAATCCTTCAGGCTCTAGCCACAGCAGACTTTTGGGAGATTGGCAGACATGCCAAATATCCCACTTTGTCACTCAGATTTGGAATTTAATGCCACAACTTCAAGGTACTCTCCCCTGAAATCCCCACTTAGATGTAAATTAGCCATCCAGAGTTTAGATCACTGCCTGGGACAGACAGGAACTCGGTGAATATTCTTCCATGAACAAATTAGGCCACATTCATAATACTTGAGTTTTCAATCTGGTCTGCCCAGGTCACACCACTCACATTACCACTGTGTGGTCACTTAAAGTAGCAGCATAACTGTTGTCTGCCTATCTGCCTTCCCCCTCAATTTTAAGCTGCTATGCTAAGACGGTACAGTGTTCCTTCTCCAGTGCCCATCTCTGCACAATTCCAAGGCTAGCAAAGCCTCAAAGTCCCAGGAAGTTAAAAAATACTTTACATTGCACCACTGAACTCTTCAAGACACTGGCTGCTACTAAATAGTAAGAATCAGAGCCAAAGTTATGGAGGGCTTATTCTGACCTCAATAATGAACACTCTATAAGTGCTTTAAATATTTTATTTCCTCAAATCTGAAGCAGAACTGTGTTAGCTAGGTAGTAAAATACCTCTTGTTTTAAAATAGGAACCTGTGGATCAGAATACGATATTACATTACTTGCACAAAGGTTCAGAGCAGTGTAGAGGCTCAACTCAAATCCAGGCAGTGGGGTGGAAGCCTACGGCTCATGCTCTCTGCACTCTGGCTGGAGGAAATGTGTGCTTCCATTCTCTCCATTCCCACTCTGCCAAACTGATCTGCCCATCATCACACAGACACTTCCACATGTTGTAGCAAGATGACCTTTCCCTGGAGTAGCCGACCAAGTCCTATACTGTGAAAGGCATCACAGAAAGACACTGTCCAATAACTTTCACCCAACCCACTATAGGGACAAAAATCTTCTATCAGGGTATCATTTTTTATGCACTGCAAAATCCCTAGCTAAAATCCAGGTATTACCAAAAGGGTTTTAACTGCTTATAGCAAGTGAGTCAGAAACATTTTGAAGTGGATTATTCAGATTACTCAGTAGGGTCCTGAGGAATAGAATTCATCTAGTTAAAGTCAGGCCATGGAGAAATGTCAAGAAATATTTAGTGAGTACCATCGTTCAAGACCAGATCAAAGTCAGGCCGAAGAACAAGTGCTCTCATAGGTTCAGCCTAGGACAAGGGGGTTGAGGGTAAGACTGGGCTCTGATGGTAAAAAAAAAATTGCAGAGGCTAGAAATGTTCCATCTTCTGAAAAATGCTGCCCGTTAGCACCAACCCACAGTAAAGCAAAAACCACAGAACAGAGAGATGGTCTTTGCAACCAGCAATTATACAGTAATGGTCTTTATCAAAAATCAGAGCCCACAAAGAGCTAGACAAAAGCCAACAAACCAGCCACTGTCTAAAAAGCAGGTGTCCATGTGCCACATGCCATCATAGCATCAGAGATGTGCTGGATAGCTTTAGTGTCAACTTGACACACCTAGGTTGAGGGAGCTTCAATTGGAGAACTGCCTCCTTAGGACTGGCCTGTGGCCATGTCTGTGGGGCATCTTCTTGATTGCTGAGTGATGTGGGAGGGCCGGCCCACTGTGGGTGGTGCTATCCCTGGGCAGGTGGGCCTGTGTTGCATAAGAAAGCAGGCTGAGCAGGGGCCAGGGGAGCAAGCCAGGAAGCAGTGTTCCTCCATGGCCGGTGCTTCAGCTCCTGCCTCCAGGTTCCTGCCCTGAGTTCCTACCTTGGGCTCCCTGATGAACTCTGACCCAGGATATGTAAGCTAAATAAACCCTTTCCTCTTCAAGTTGGTAGTGGTCAGAGTATTTTGTGACAGCAATGGAGAAACAAGCCAGAACAGGGGAGAAGGATTTCTAAGCACTTTCGTCCTGGAAAGCACTCTCCTCCCATTATGGCAGCCTATTTTAGCCCCTATGCTTCGCACTTGGGGACCCTCAGCCCCTCACAGACTGGCATGCTAGCTGCCCGCATATGACTGGGTCTCTACAGCCCTGGGCCATTTCAAGTCAGGCAATCTCCACTGGCTGCCAGGGTGATGCATGAAATCCCTAGAGGCAAGAGGAAAAGGCTAGTGGATGGGGGAGCCTTTGATCCCGGGAACCAATGATATATCCACATCATCAGTGGGCAGAAGACCAAGAACGCTGGGCTGGAAACCATGGTCCTGAGGGGCCCACTAGTGACATGGACAGTTGTCTATTTTCTTCATGGTTAAGGTAGTAGGACAGCCATAAAAGAGAGTACTTCCCTAACTTAAGTCATTTGAGTACTTGTAATTTAGCAAACCCTTCGTTGCGTTTAAGTTCACGATCTGTGCTTTCTTTTCTCTGGTGCTGGGGATAAAAGCCACAATCTTGCACGTACTAGGCAAAGCACTGTCACCAAGCTATACCCCCGGTCTAATACATATGCTTTAAAAGGAAACTTCATGTTGTTGCAAAATCGCTCAGTTCGTGGAAGTTTTTTCGCCTCCATGCTAGCGTAAACACGTAACTATGTCATTCATGGGCCACCAAATCTCGCTACTAAGCCACCCAGAGTAGCATCAGCTCTGGGAAGCAGGGTCATCCGGAGGGTCGGAGCCCAGATGGGACTGGAGGGTCAAGTGCAGAGGATGTCCGCGGAGTCCCTCCCGCTCGCTCCCCCCACCGTCCTCCGCACGCCACGCCCCACCCCTCCAGCAGCACGTTTCCTGTCAAAACAAACGGGGGGGGGGACGAGATGGGGACGGTGGGGGCTGAGCCCAGAGCCGGGGAAACCAGGCAACAAACCCCAAACACAGGCCGCATCCGGCCCCACCGCAGAGCAGCCCCACTCAGTGAGGGCAGGGCCCGGGGCCCGGAGCCAGGAACGCAGGGACACGGGGGCGCAGAGATTGGGAACCCGGGGCCGTGGGGAGCGCTCGCCGTGCGGACGCCAGCGTCCGCTCAGCGGAGTGTAAACAGGAGCCAGGCCCGGGCACCTCTGGGGCCTACGTGACACCCCCGGGGGGGGGGGCCTCCACGTCCCGTTCCGACGGCCGCTGGGGCCAAACCCCAGGGCTGGCAGGGGACACAGAACCCCAGGCCACGACCCCGCCGTGCGGCAACGGAAACCGCCGGGATGCCCCAGGAGAAGCGCCCCTCCCTCCGTGTCCCCGTCCAACCTCAATCCTCCCCGCGACAGCTGCGCACCCGCTGGTCCCGCGCAGACACTCGGTGCAGGATGCGCGACCCTGTTCGGGGTGCTTCGCGTCCCCTCGCCCAGCGACAAAGACCCTAAGCCGTGCAGCAGCCCAACAGCCCCGACCCCTTCTGTCCGCCCCATGCGTTATTTAAAGGACCCGGAGGGACTCCGGGGACGAGACCATCTGCAAAAGGGGCGGGAGGGGGATGACGGTGCCGCTACACTGGGGACCAGGGAGATTCAGGCTGAGATAGCTGAACTCCCATGGAGTCACCCTATAATAGCACTTTTTCCTCGTGTTTCGATCATGAAGGCCCAAGATAGTTCATATCGGAGGGCGCTTTGACGCGAGAAGGCCAACTCCCCCCGTGAACAGAGAGTGGTACGGTCCCGGCCTGCCAGGGGCGGGGAGAGGAGTGTTTACGGAACTGGGGTGGTGCGGGGCGCTGGGGGCGGGGCCTAAGCGGCCGCCTGTAACTCTGCAAACTTAACCCCTGGGCTCTCCAAGTTCATCTGCCTGGGCGATGCTGCAAAGGTCCCTGCCAGGAGAGAAAATTTAGTGCTCGCACACCAACGTTCTCTTTAACCAGAGCAGTAAAAACTGAGTGTTCACCTTCACCCTGTGTATACTCACAGACAGGGCGAAGCAAACCATCAGCGTTCCAAGCTGGCTTTCCCACGCACCTCCGCGATCAAGCGCGTCATCCACGTTTGCCTACATTTTCACGTAAACAAGGGTCCAGATTTGTCCCTGAAACGCGCGATTAGCTTCTGGGAGCCACACCTATCCAAGTTCTCAGGACTTGAGTGTGCACGTGTGGAATGATAAGTGTCTTACTTCCTCAAAATAAGGGTTCCGCCTAGCTTGTAGAGAAATTTCGACAGTGGTTAATGTAAATAAATACTAGGAGAGACTTTTGTCAGGCCTGTTGTTCCTTGCTTCTCGGGACCTAGCTTCAGGGCGTTTAAAAAACAAACAAACAACAACAACAACAACAACAAAAAACCAAGCGTGTTTCAAGGCACTTGCTGTCAAGAGCACTTGCTCCTCTTCCAGAGGGTAAGAATTTGGTTCCCAGCGTGCGTTTGAGGGCTAACACCTGCCTGTAATTCCAGTTCCAGAGAATCTGATGCCTTCTTCTGGCATCCACTCACACAGACACACACATGAACATGAATGAAAACAAAAAATAAATCTTTTTTAAAAAGAGAAAATGCAGTCGATACTCAGGTCCTTTTCTACATCCTGCCGTTTTTTTATATCACTTCTTGGAATAAGCAGATGTCAGAAGCTTCCAGTTTCAAGACTTGCCAAATAACCACCACCACACAACTGGTATCACCACCCTAAAAAGCTCCACAATAAAAAGATTAACAAAATATACCTAAATTCCTGGTAACTGTGTGACACACACACTGTGTTCTCTGCTAGCTTTGTAGGAATATGCTAAGTATTGTTTTGTGCTATGACCTAACTAGAAACAGGTGAACATGAGTCAGTGTAGTTGTCCAGTCAACATAGGTGATCAGCTCACTGACCTCTGGGGATGATGCTTCTTTTAAAGCTCAAATATGTAACTCTCAAGACCACAAGGGAGCATTTTTTACCAAAGCAAGTGACTCAAGTTTCAGCATGTAGTGGCACAAGAACCTTGAGATGGAAGTGGGGTGAAGGATAATATCAGAGACCCAAGCTAGGTCTAGAATTGGTAGACAAATCTTCTGTCACTTTGATGTTACATAATTTAACAATTTGCAAACCCACTGATGAATTAGCTAACCTACTACTTTCAGCCTGATTTATGCTGCTAAATATAAGGCAGTTCCCTCAAAAAAACAAGCTTTGTATCACATCCTTACCACAAAGATCAATCATATAATAAAACCTTTCATGCTTCGGTTATGTTCATGACTTTCCATGGAGAGGGGACAGATATTTGAAAAGGAAACCTTTTCAGCAAGTAAAATAACATTTGATTTAAAGAAATCTTATTAGTACATCCAATTTTGGGTTTTGTTTTTACTTCTTCAGGTAGCATGTATCCCCAGCGGACCTCAAACTTGTAATCCTGCTGCCTCAGCCTCTGGAGTGCTGTGTTTACAGACATGTACCACCACACCCAGCTTTGCACCTAATTTTTGTAAATGACCTGTTTTGAACCATTAGGAGAACGCATGGTAGTATACTTTGTTTTCCTGATACAAATTCCATGGGAGACCAAATTTGATTTACTATCTTTGGTAAAAACAAAACAACCACCAAAAAACCCAACAATAACTTTGAGCAGATCAAAATTTTTGCGTGAAGAAATACACATACTCATTTCTGTTTTACACATCTGAAATCTGGGCTTTAGTTCCCTTCCTTCCCCCTCTTTGGTGGCAGTGGGGATGGGAGAGTCCCTTCTGTGATTTGTTTTCAGTGGTACTAGGGGTCAAAGCAATAAGCAATTGCTAGGCCAGTGTGCACTACCACTGAAACCTGTTTTCAATTATAATGAATTCTTGAAAATACTCAGAAAATTTTAAATGTAATTAGAATACACACTTGAGTTTGCTGTGGTGGAGCTGATGTAATGGAATACAAATTCAGCTGTAACACTCAGCAGCCCAGGGTGCCTAAGCAGGAGAGAATGAGGAAACGCTGTCATAATTCTGTCCTCTGTTTATCTCCTGCGGCTTGTGAGGCTTCTCTTCCTGGGTGGACCTGACTTCCAAGCTTCTTGTTATATGCAAGCTTCTTAACCAAGGCCTGCCATCTTTTCATTTGCACAAGCCCCTAACATTGGAGACCCTCCAGGCCTGGTCTAATGTTCCATTGCTGCTGTCCTGGCATTCTTAATACTTTTTGTGCATCTTCATTTTGCACTGGGCCCCACAAATTGCATAACTGGTCCTGATCTTACCACACAGAGTATGAGTCTCCAGTACCGGGGGCTTGAGCCTGGAGCCTTGCGTTCATACTAGGCAAATACCTACCACTGAACTGCATTCTCAGATCTTTTTCTTTTTCTTTTTTTTTCATTTATGAGACAAAGTCTCACTAAGTTTCCCAGACAGACCTTGAACTTGCCATTCTCCCTCCTCAAAGCCTAGTGTTTAAAAGATTTTTCCCCTTTAACCTGTTCCCAAACGCAAATCTATTATTTCATCTAGTATTCAGTTGAAGAAATCTATATCTATTCAATGCTAGAGAAGAAACAAAAAGCAAAAACAAACAAATAACAAACACAACAACTAGGTGTATCACAGGTTTTAGAGTTCATTTAATCAATTTCCAAGAATAATTTTGACTCTACATTATTTTGACCTCATGTTCTCTATTTTTTACATACTAATGCCTCACATAAGATGTGACTCCATTATACGAAGAAGAAGAAAGGTTAAATGGATTCTGATCTCCTTCTCTAGTGCTAGAGAGGAACTGAACAAAACATTAGTTGACGGGCATGCAGTAGAAAGCAGAGGGAAGAAAAGCAATTTGGCTAATAGACGTGTTAGATAAGTCATCAAATGTTCAAACAGCAACCACATACCTTCTGTTCAAGTTTGCTATGAACCTAAAATTGTTAAAAAAAATAAACTCTATTAAAATAGCTCTCTTGCGTGGTGGCGCGCACTTTAATCCCAGTGCTCCCGAGGCAGAGGCAGATGGATCTCTACGAGTTCAAAGCCAGCCTGGTCTGCATAGTAAGTTCCAGGACAGCTAGGGCTACAGGGAGACCCTGTCTCAAAAAGACCAAAATAATAATAATAATAATAATAGCCCCTCTTGTTGGTTGTATTTTTCCTTTGACCTTCAAGATAAATCAGATTTAAGTTGTTGACCAGTTTGACTATAAACTTGATCAATTTTCCAAAGCACCAAAACCAGTTTTCCCTGAACTCCACTGAACTGAATTAATATAAAGTCATTTCCCTTACCAGTTGTTTTCTACCTTCACATTTAGACACTGGCCAGATCCTGACCCTGTCACATAATAATAGACAAACAATTTTAGTGCTTCCTTCATGCACTGCGCCATTTCCTTCCACTTACCTGGACAATACAGTTCTCCAGTGGGATTCAAAAGAATGAGAAGCAGCTGTGTGGAGACCTATGTGGGAAGCAGGGAGGAAGTGGGAGGGGCCAAGGAGTACCAATGGGAGATCAAACAGCTGCTGGGTTCAGTCTCCTGACCAGGACAGTTCCTCTCCAGAGCCACCACTGGACCACCAGGCAATTGTTTTCTAAATGCCTTTGTAAGTAACCATACAGGCCCTCACTTTTAAAATCAAGTGGAATACTCAATGGGGTGGGAAAGAATTTTTAAAATAAGATGTAAAGCCTAGAAGACAGAAAGAAAACATTAAGAGATCTGACGCTTCAGACAGTGTTCAACTTCAAAACAAGTTACAGAACAGCAATTGCCATCCATGCCAAAAAGAGTTTATACTCTTTTATACTGGGGGCAGTTTACATGGACACTTTACATTTGAAATGCATCTAAGTGGACTGGAAGAAACCCACTGACAAGCAGATGCTTTAGGAAATGTTCCAGATTCATTAGCTGCACATTCAAATGGCTTGTTTCTTTTTCAGTATTCATTATTTCATACTACCATACCACGATACTACTCTTATCATTGTGAGTCCCCCAAGTATGCCTTACTGGAGGTAAGTTATTAACACTGTGCAATAGATGTCTTTCCTATCTCTTTTTCATTCGTGTTTAAGAAAAGCCATGGTAACAAACAGAGCTTTTCATACAAAGGATATAAAGGGAATGATTTGCGAAGATCTCTTAGTATGGTATGCTCACATTATTTATGCTGGATAGGGGATTACTATTTAGGTTGTTGTCTTCAAGCCCTACCTTCGTACATGGAATTTACTTTTATTTTGAACATGCTTTTGCTTCAACCTCTGACCTCTAAGGCCTTCCTTTTTTTGCTGATAAACTGGACAGGGGTCCTTTCTCTAAGTGGCATAGGCATTTGGAAAACAATTGCCTGGTGGTCTAGAGGCAGCTCTGTAACTATACCAGTTTTTGAGGATGACAAATTAACATTCAGATGCTGTTCACAGTAGTTTCTACCTGAGCTCCTGGGGACTCTAGTAGAACTATGGAACTAGAACAGTGAAAGACTTATGACCGAACTGGAAG